TCTACTGCTTCATTTCATGAAGTGATCAACACTAGGTCCTTTAGATAAACAAACCTGAACAGAAAAACACATTTCATTTTCACGATGTGTTTACATAATTGGCTTTCTCATGCTAGTCTGAAGACATGATTTTTTTGGTGCTGGGCAGGGCTAGCTGTTTTCTGACAAAAAACTTGCCATAGTCAAAGACTTAAAATGATTAGTGGAATTGCAAAGGCAGGAATTTAAGTGGCATTTAAAAAAAAAGCAATACACATCTTCAGCTTCCCCTCTTCCCCTAGAAACCCCCAAACCAAAGCTAACCCCAGCTTATGACTGAAAACTGTGACTGCCTCAAACATTCATGAGTAGGAATTTGTTCATACTTGAATTTGTACATAACCTTGTTACACAGGTTTCAGAACACAGAAAGACTCAAAGTGCTGCATTTGGTCTGATACCACTGTTATGAACAAAGAAAAAAACAACAAACAGAATAGCAGTCAGTACCTGAAAGGAGCTTTGTGCAAAAACAATAGTAAAAATGCCATATGTTCTAAAGTTCAGGTTTTTATTAAAGTTAATTTTCTGTATCTTTACTGTACCAGTAGTCTTTTGATAGAAGCTTCTCCTCCCCTCCTCTTTTAATAGTGAATGAACTTTTATAAAGGATTTTACATTAGAAAGCACTTATATTCTGAAGTAGAGAAGTACTTTTATACTTTTCTACAGGGATAATCATGTGCTTCTACTGCAAATGAACAGGTCTGAGAAATTTTAGCATGTAATATACTGAATACATAGACTTTGTCTGTTCCTTCACACGGGTGATACTTTAACAGCAGGAAAATTAACCTACTCCATTTGTCTTACTCTATAACACAAGACACACACTCAATATTTTGTGAAAGGCAACTAAGGAAGGTTGGGATTTATCCCCTATCTTTTTCCTCCAAAGGACTTTCAGGTGACTTCACCAACTTTCACCTTGACAGCCAGGTTCCTTCTGAGGTGAAAAGCTCACTCGATTTTTGCTGGAGGTGGTGGGTTGATCCCAGTAAACAGATAAAACACCCTCACAAGTTGCTCTCCCACTCCTCCCTCCCTCCAGGTCGGGGAAGAAACAGAAGTGAGGTAAGAAGATTTGTGGATGAAGATAATACTTTAACAGGGAGAGCAAGAGGTGCACGTGCAAGCAAAGCAGAAGAACGAATTCGTTCATGACTTCCCACCATCAGGAAGATGTCCAGCCACTTCCTGGAGAGTGGGGTCAGAGTAGGGGATAGAAAGCCTTCACACTGTGCAAGTACCATCCAGCACCAGCCAAAATGCTGGGATTTTATCAACATGCTATTTTAGGCACAAACCTACACCACCAGACCCAGTCCCCCAGGACAGCTGCTTGCCCCCCAGTCCCTCTGTGCTGGGTTTGGCTGGGGTAGAGACCATTTTCTTCAAAGTGGCTGTTAAGGGGTTGTGTTCTAGATCTGTGCTGAACACAGGGTTGATAATATAGAGATGTTTTTGTTATTGCAGAGCAGGGCTTACACAGAGCCAAGGGCTTTCCTGCTTTTCTGACTGCCATGCTGGTGAGGAGGCTGGGAGTGCCTGGGGAACTGGGAGGAGACACAGCTGGGACAGGTGACCCCAGCTGAGCAAAGGGATATTCCAGACTGTACGACATCACACTCAGTAAATAAAGTGGGGAAGGAAGAAGGAGGAAGGGGGGGACATTTGGAATCACCTCGCTTGTCTTCCCAAGTCACTGCTACACACGTGATGGGGCCCTGCTTTCCTGGAGGTGGCTCAGCACCTACCTCCCTGTGGGATGCAGGGAACGAATTCCTTGCTTTGCTTGTATGCATGGCTTTTGCTTTCCCTATTAAACTGTCTCTATCTCAACCACAAGTTTTCTCACTTTTACCCTGAGCTGATTCTCTCCCCTCAATCCTGCTGGTGGGGGAGTGAGTGTCTGTGTGGGGCTTGGCTGCTGGTGGGGGTTAAACACCCTCTCTCCAGTAGAGAACAGAAAACAGACCAGAGTTGGTTTCTTTTTTATGAAAGACTAAGACTGCTACTGGAAAGTAGCACAACAAAAAAATGACCACAGGGAAAATGCTACAACATTACAGCATTTGCATCTTAGTGTTTGCAGTTCAGTGTTTGAAGACATTGCAGACAGACTCTCTTCCTAAGAAGGGAAGAGGGTTTTTTGTCATAAACCTCATATCATTAGCAGAGACTGAATATTCAATGCATTAAATTTACATCATTCTGTCACAGACTGTCCTTGTTCTATACATTAAAATTACAATCTGCAAGGCATAGTCAGAAGAAACAAGCAAGTTTAGAGAGAGTTCCCTCTTAGCTTTTAACAGTGCTGAAGATTACCTCGGAGTCAAATGGCATGGGTGATTAGTGCTGCATCAATCTCCTAATACTGAGAAAGCACTGTGTTTGTCTTACCTTTATAAGACAGTTTTCAGGCCTAGTTCAATTAAACACTTAAGTCTTTTTTCAGTGTTCAGAATAGTTATGTAAATGTGCAAAAACATCAGCGGAGACTTACTTCAATACATACACGTTCTTACATTTTCTCCTCATTTTTTTTAGGCTTTACTTTATCATGAATATCCAAGACCTATTTATATTTACAGGGTATATATTGTACTCACAGGCATGAAAAATACAATTTGTCTCATCCAGTGAGTCACCATTAGCTTTTGTTTTTACCTTTCTATAAGCGGATATTTTTAACGTAATCAACTGGAGTTATTTTTACCCAACAATTTATGTAATTGTTTTTAATAAGATCAGTCATATGTCAGACCGTCACTATTACTAAAGCTTATTTTCAGATAAATCAAAAATGGAAAAGCCTACATAAAGGAAACATTTCATGAAGAAGGAAATATTTCTCTCCATATAAGGGCAAAATGACCAAAACTTCTGCATTTTCTCTCTTTTTTTTTTTTTCCCCAATGCTCATGAGGCTTTCAGAAAGATGCTGCTTTTCTCCTAAAGAATTTAAAACCAACTCTACATAATCTGGAAACTTAAACACAATTAAAAAATAAGTTTGGCAAAAAAGCCAGTGCTCCATCAGAGCAAAAAACCCTCACCCTCAACCCCTTCAGAAGACTTGCACCATATACTATGAGGTTTGAACACACACATATCCTTGGTAAAAAACTTCTAATTAATTAAAGATTGTTACAAAGATGTCACTTATAGGCTGATTTTTATGAATTTCAGATCTTAGATAGGGTATGATGTATGAAAATATGTAAAATACTGGTTCATCTCTGTAGCAGTACTTCAATGATGACAACACACCCAGTTTGGAAACATCAGGCAAAGATAAAACTCTTAAATGCTGAATACTTAAATTCCTCAGAAAGGGAGTAATTTATGAAACAGGAGACAGACAAATCAGGCACCTTAACATATCCTGAACAGAATATCCACATCTATTTAAGTTTAAGGAAACAATTCCTGCTGTTCATTCAGTTAACCCTCTCCCTTCACTACTAACGAGTTACTTTTAAGCTCTGAGAATGGAGACTTAAACAAACAGGGAGTTCTTCCTTTAACCATTATTGAGCCATTAAGAACCTGGAGTCATGAAAAAAAAAAAGGGGAGGAAAAACAAAACTATTTCAAGCTGCTTAAAACATCATTTGAGAGCAGAACTGTGACTGACAGATTAACACAGAAAAATATCACCTTCCATTGTCTGCTTACCCAGTTTGTTGTCTTACAGCCAGTCTCCTTTTGGCAGAGTATCAGCTACACCACATTCCTGTCTTTCAGAGCACATAGTTAACAAACTTCTCACTAAATTTAATATAAAAAGCAGGAAAAATTTCCTAGGGAAAAAAAAAAAACCAGAAAGCTCAAACAGGTTTTTTTCCACTAAAATCACTTTTCCTGAAGTACTCACCAAGCTGAAATAACCACTTCATTCTTCATCTTCAAAATAAACCTCAGGATAGTAAGGTTTGAATTGTGGGAGGAGGAGAAAACAGCAGGGAAATCAAAACTTATTGCTCACAGAATACACCAGTCTAGTGGGTGCCTTCCTGTTATCTCAATAACCACCTGGTTCAGAGAATAACCTGAATTATTAAGTACAAAGAACCATTCAGCACACACAATGCAAGATGGAAGGAAGGTCAGCCTGAATCTTCAGATAAACTGGCAGGTGGAGACGAGCTTGAGCTCTCATTGACTGTGAGAGAGACTGTGGAGCAACAGCTTCTGGGGACAGAGCTACCAGTACTCTTACAGGTGACAGGGAAGTATATATCTCTAAATGTTGAATTATAAATCCTTACCAGCCCTTTCAACCAAGAAAGGCTAACTTTAAAGAGGATTCTTTCATTACATCGAAATATCCGTGGAGAGTTTTGTACCCTGGGATATATCACCATGGGCCACTTAATTTACTCCTGTGACAGAGCCAAAGAGGACTGATTTGAGGTGCACCCAAGCAGATAAAGCTCTGGAGCTCATGTCCTTCTCAGAAGGAATCTGAGGCTTCAACCAGTCATGGTGACAGGCAGCTACAAACCTCAGTGCATGATGGCAAGGAAGGACCTTGGTTGCAATCTGAGTGGCACCAGATCCAAGGTGAAAGCTGAATTTTTCTTCGTAATCCATCAAAATTCAAAGAGCAGGAGCAAGAAATTGGCTTTCCGTGGGTATTACAAGGAAAAATTTTCCAGTCTTACAAGACAGGCAGGAGTACACTCACCACTGAAATGTAGAGGTGGATTCCAAAAAAGCCCTAATTATTATATTTCTTGTACTTACACGTTCATCTTACACATTTTGTAGTTTGCTTTTATTAATCTATCACTATATCAAAGAAAATGAGCACAGGACAAATATTCTACCAGTTTCAGAGTATTTATGACCAGGATAAGTTCCTGATTTCAAGACAGAGTAAAATCTAATCTGTCTTCCAGTGTTAAGACTACTGTACAATTGTTTTACAATACAAGCAATGAAACCGTATATGAATTTATTTTCTCCTCCTCAGAGTTTATTTTGCATGTAATTTTACAGTTTATACTTCACATCATACATTTATTCCTTCTCTTGAAAAAAGGTTTGACACAGACGCTTGCCTTGCATTACATTTTGAAACCTGGAACTGGTGCCAGTAAAAAAAACAAACCACCCTATAAAACATATTAGATCAATACAATGTAAATATAACATGTATTAGAAGTTGCTCGTTATTTCACTACAAGGAAAACAATCTGGGGAAAAAAAACAACCAAAGATAATCAGTTCCAGTTGCTAAAACAGTTCTGTATATTTTATTTAAAGTCATAGCGTAACAGGAATGCTTTTATTAGCCCACAACCAAACAATGATCAAACTGGTGTAGAGGAAAACGAAGCATGATCCTATAGTACCCAACTGCAATATAAGATTCTCTGTCACACAGAACATATCAGACTGGGGATGTTCACAAAGTCCTTTCAGTGTGAACTCTGCAAAAGACTGTTTTCCATCATGCTGCATTATTCCATCCCTTATTTTGCTTAAGAAGTAAGCCACAAGTAAGCATTCCAAGAACTGTGAATAGATTTTTCGGTGTTGGCACAACTATTCAGTAATTTACACAATGGTTCACGAAGGAAACTGGGTAAAATTATGACTTGGAAATGGTCACGGACATCTTCCTCTTTGGCTATTTTAAAAGTTAAGACATTCATTTCAGAACCAATTCAAATTTTTAAATTAATGGAACAAAATAAAGCATGTCTCGTTAATTTGGTATTAATTTTCCAGAATACTCTGCAACATTTTCAAATATACAAAATCTTACTCTTTACAAAAAAAAGTTGTAGCTCATGAAGGAACTCACTTGAATTATCTTAGCAGCACTCCAATAATTAACTATCTTAATTTTAATCAAAAAAACACCTTAATTTGATCACTGTATTTTGAGACTGCTTCTTCACGAGAAGCAATGTTTCAAAAGTCATAAAAGTGCAAGAACATCATCATGTTCCAAGCTGAAAGGCAGCTTCTGGAAGTAGTGAAATCAGTGTTGCAAGGTCCTGATGTCAGTGGAATAAATCCAGTGGGAAGAACTACACTTTAAATACGTCTTCCAGTGTGGTATCATTGCAGTAAGAACAAAACACACTTCTCACTGAACACTGAAGTGATCTAAATGAAATAGTTGTGTAATTTTTGTCCAGCTGTAGCAAGTGAGATGGACAAACTAAGTGATTTGGGTGGGAGTAAATAAGCAGCACACACCAGAGCATCAGCCAGGTCGCCAGTGGATCGGCCAGCTCCTTTTGCTGTTCAGCATTAGTTGTGCATTTTTAATTACATAAAAAATGGCAAAGTACGATACTCTCAGAGGACCTTCTCATCCATTTGGATAAACATTTCTAATTCCATGCTGGACTTCATTGAAGAAGAGGAGCCTCAAATTAGGTCCCACAAACCATTAAGGCTGCCTTTTAGCCAAAAACTTCTGTTTTATTTAAGCAAACTACTTACTTTTAGTAAGAAGCATTCATATATAATGAACATTTGGATTCACTATCAAAATGAGGATCACAAGAAATTACAAACTTTGGAGCAGGATCACTCTTATTATTCCTGATAAAATTCTGTAAACAACAGTTTAATTGAGAATACCTGCTGCTCTGCAACACCTTAAGTGTAATTTTGTACTACTAGAACTACAAACCCAACATTTTCCTTTCTGCCTCTTCGTAGAGTTTCCTCAAAAGAGGATCTAGCAAGTCAAGAGCTCTGCAATTATATGTGAATATTAATCTTACATTTTAAACACCTAATATTACTATACTCAGTTTCAGAAAGCCTCCTTAGAGCAAGTTTTGTTATACTTAGTACTAGCACAGTGTTTCAGCACTTCTTCTATGACTTGCTTCTTCAGTGGTAGTTACAGAGAACTTCATTTTGGGATATCCATATTCTGAAGCACAAGAGCCACTCTGCTTGGAATGTACACCTGGTGAAAATATGACAAGAACAAGAATAGCTGAAAAAAGCATAAACCTTTACGGGAGACAACTTCGAAATAACAGTTTGTTTAAAAAAAAAAATTAACTGCTCAAAATCTGTCATTTGTGCAGTGCTGTGGGTCATCACATTTTTAAAGAACGACTGCTTAGTCCCCAGCATTTGAATTACACAGGATAACCTAAAAATTTAAAAGACAGCTTGATTGCAACCTCTTTTCTAATTTTTTTTTTTTTTTAATGCACGTATTTTACCTCGATCTATTTTAGGTGGCTACCAGTAGAGGGCCTCATTGACTCACAATGACCGGTTTCAAAAACCTGAGGACGTGTAGGTCAACAGACCGTACGATGACAAATGGCAAAGTTTCACAACACCCTTCTGCTGTGAATTAAAGCTGCCCCAAGGGCTGTGATGTCATTTCATACAGGTAAATACCAGCAACATGACACAGCAGCATATTCTTCTCACTCTTGGTACCTATGGAGTGTCAGTGTCCCAGCAATAAAACTCACTTTCAAGACCGGACAGAATCAAAATTAACCGTTTAAATTATCGCGTTTCCTTGCCCTTTTTCCTGGATACCATGAAAAAAACCTCAAACGCATATAATCAAAAAAACTCCTCATAGATCACACAGAAGAACTCGTGGCAATATATTTTACATGACATTCCTTCCAAGCAGAGCAGAGTCACAATCTGCAAACAAGACCGATATGTACTATCTCCCAATTACCTTGATATATGGTACTCCATCAATTGTCAAGCCTATGAATGTGTTCTCTGAATAAGTCAATAAAAATGCAATTATAAAAGGTAACACAAGATTGAAGATTATGGGCTTCATTCTGACAATGTCCTCTTTCAGGCTACCCTTCATCCCAGTGGAATGCCTAATATTCTGCAATTCCAGCTATGTTATCTGCTAACTAGAGCCTGATGGCATGAAAGGCTTTCATTGTTTTCAAAACAGAATAAAGCAATGAAGCAAAAAGCTTTAGGAAAAGGAGAAAAAGGAAAAGAACAGCTGATCTTCATTGAACCAGACAGAGCTACGTCCAACGCTTCTTGAAAGGCAGTGAACACAATGATTTCCCCTTAAGGTTTCAGTGATAAATAGCTTCTATAAATCTGTGCAGGAGAGGAAATACTTAATGAAGTCAACTACCTCAAAACATATAGATAAAGCAGAGATTTTGAAATTGTGTATTGAGAAATTCAGCGCTCTGGGTTTGGATAATGAAGTGAGAAGGGAGAAGGAACAAACAGAAATAAGTTTTCTAGCAGAGAATTTGCAAAATGTTACTTCAGTTAAGGGAATAAAAATTAACATTAATACAGGACACAGCAATTCTCAATTATATTCTGGTCAATAATATGTCAGCTCTTCGGAGGAGTAAATTAGCCCAGCTCCTTTAAAGTCAATTTACATCAGCTGAGAGAGAACCTGGGAGCAGTGTGGAAGCATCCCACTCCAACCACTTCACTGCCAATCAGAATTTTAAAACTGGCTTAAGCACAATTTCAGAACTTGTGCAGATGACTGTATTTAGACTAACCACAGATATGTTTTCCATTTGCCATGAAGGTATGTATCTGCCAGCTTATTACTTTAGTCACCTGTTTCTTCCTTACCTAGGCAAATTCAATATGCATTTTAGTGTCTTTTTTTGTCTTGGTGGTCTCCTTGCTAAATCATAGAATAGCTACATATGGCACTATCTCCTAATCTCAACTTATTTCGTTGATCAGTGCAACCATCTCCAAGGCTGTTTACTACAAAAAGCAACAATTAAGGCATGAACAATGAATAAATATTAATTATTGATTAATAATCACAAATAAGATGATTAATTATTCATTACACTGGTGTAAATTTTTTTAGAAAGGAAAAATACTACACAAGTACTTGGTAATTCCTGTTACAAATATATAGGTAGTATTTCTCCTTCCCAGCCCACTGGTATTTCAGGAAATACAACAGTGAATGTGCTCTGGGCTTTATTATTTATTTGAACAGACAGAAGTCAGAACATTTGTGTAATGGACTGAGGGAGATATATGTCTATCTATAAATAGAGCAGTAAAAGTATATAGAGGTGTCCTGATTAAAACCATTATAGGAAATCTAAGTATTCATCAGCAAGAGACATTATGAGAGATGTGCAATTTCTGACTGTTCCCATACCCTGGGAAGAGGGTCTCAGAAGTTTATTTTGTTGCTGAATTATGTGCTTTCAATTACCTGCTTCAGTTCTATTGATTTCTGCTCTTCTAACCTGCTGCTTCTGACCACAAGGTTTTTCTCATTCACGTCTCCTTCACCATTTCACAAGGCTCACTTGACGAACGTGGACAGAAGTGAAAGCCCAAAGAACAGAGCACTAAAGAGAATGTCATCTCAACTAACCCACGTCTTGACTATCATTCAATCAAACCACCCTCACAAGCTCTCTTCTGTTTCAAGCTTTCTGTTCATCTTGAACATCCTTCTCAGCGCTTTCCTCCCCTTCAGGCTCACCCATGTTGGAAAGAGCCTCAGGAAGCCCAGATTCCTTGAGCTCTGAAGTCAAACCAAGTTATTCAGGGCTTGAGATCTCTCAGTGAATCATCTCTCTACTTTCTGTACTGATTGCTTAATTATTACCTCAAGTCCTCTAAGGTGTTACGGAAAATCTGCTATTTTAGGAAGCCATAAAGACGTCTAAAAACACACATATGAAGCCTCATAAGGCCTTTTCTGATAGGGGACTAGAATATGGAGACTGGAAAACATCAGGTCTGTTTGGGACAGTTAAGATGATTCAGCTTTAAAGATGAAGTTTTTGACAAAGTTAACGTTCAAACATTTAGCCATCAAATAATATTGAAATATTCTTTTTTCCTCAATGGAATATTTGGCAGGAATGAAGTAAAGTAACTGTGGTTGACTTCACCAGCAGATGTGCTACCAGAGAGGATGACGGAGGATAGGAATCTTGTTTATAAGTCAAATACAAAACTGTTTTTTTTTATCCCCTTTGACCTTTTTTATACTGCATGTCCATTTAAACTATGAGTAAATTATACTGTCTGAAACTAGGCATACCCCACAAAGATTAAGGCCTCTGGCACTAAAATAGCATAGCCACATACAGAGGCAAAACAAACAAACAAACAAAAAAGAGGTTTATTATAATCAACCTGTTTTCCAACAACATACAAATGGAGTTCTATCAAGATCATAGTCTATTCATGATGGCTAATTCAAAAACAGGGAAAAAAACCTTGTACTACTACTGGCCAGAAGCATAAGATGCTTTTCAGCCAAATGATTACTCATATTTTTTTTCCCTGTGAATATCCAGATAATTTCAAGAAAAAAAAGCAATTAGGAAAGCTCAGAAGAACACAGGAACACCACGTGCAGGGAGCACTTGTGAACAGCAGCGACTGTAAGCAGAAACCTCACCTCACATATTCTAGGAGAGGACTAAAAGACACAGCCATGTCCAAATGTATCTAAAACCCCCCAAGCAAGAGGTTCTGCAAACGACAACTGCAACTTTCAGATCTGTCAGACTAATTCAGGACCAGCTGCAAGCACAACTGAAATTGGCTGGAACTCCAGCGAACTCCTCTTCATCCTACTTTCAGGACTGGAAAGCACCAAGCCCTAAAAATAATTTCAAGGTCATTTTGTAACAGATGGGAGAATTACTAGAACTCAGAGCTAGATCAGGCACTGCAGAAAAATATTTGATAGCACATATTGCAGCTGGTAGATGCAGAAGGCAATGTCACAAGAGTCTGTGCCAACACTATTCCAAACTTTTAATTAAAATGAGGGCTTTAGATAATCTCATGTCTCTGTATCACTACTGATTGTCAGACACTGACACTATTCTGAGAATATAACTAACCATCAATGAATAAAATAGACGGTAGCTTTTGCTTTTTGACTATAATTTACTATACAAAACCTCAGACATTTTGGTTATCATTTTGCCAGATATTGCACATGACAAAGGAGGTATGCTTAAAATAAGGTAAAGTTCTGCCTTTCAATTTGTTTTTTCAATTTTACAGCTGAACAGAATGAATATGCAGAAAATAATTTCTTAGACTGCCTTGCTTCATTTATGTAAAAGACCATATACTGCACAGGCTGTATCTCAGAATTTCTCCTCTATTACCTTCTGCACTCTTTTTCCAGTTTATGAAAGGGTACTTTAAAAAAGACAACGAAAACCCCTGACAAACAAGTAGACTGAAAACTAAGATAGGATGAAACAAAATTACCAACAGAGTAACTTTGGAATCATTGCATTTGCTGGTGGTTTTAAGAAGCCAAACGATCGATGAAGATGAGCAAATAAATCTATAAGTCTTAAATCATCAAGAGGTAAAAATAACAAAAGACCTTTCTGGTAATAAAGTCTTGCTGATTCCCTCAGTTAGAACAGTTAAGTTTCTAGCTACAAACATTCTTTCATTTAATCTGTATATCTGTGCATGGCAGGGGAGAAAACAGTTAAAGATTACATCAGTCCCTTAAAATTCAATACATAAATCCTTATCATGAAAGTTATTCAAATGAGTTTTCAAAGCTAAGGTCACTAAAAGCTTTTAGATCATTTCACTCTATGTGAGTACTTTAATCTGTCAATAGACTCAAGGAAGCAGGAAGTTGCACTTTGACCTTGAATAGTATACATTAAAGTAAAGGTTAAAAACCCAACCCTGTAATAAAGACACTCTTAAAATAAACTATATAATTTCAGTTTCATTTAATGTGATAAGATTATATCAGTGAATTCCAAAAATAATCAGAAAAAAGACAGCACTGGAAGACAGGAGAAAAAGAACACTTTGACATCTATTTGTTTTTTAACTAACTGAAATGAACGACAGAAAAAGTAAACCTAAAAGTTGAACTATGTTAAACAATTATATTTCTTGATAAACCATATACTACTTTTCCAATGACACAACATACTCTGTAATATTCCATTTAATCTGCTTATTAATCAAGTCTGTTGGTCCATGAAGTACAAACCTCACTATTTTCACATAAATCCTAACTTCTGGTGTGATCAAAAAAAAAATTTACTAGGACACACATTGATATCCAGTTCTTTTTTACAGCAAAATTCAGTCAAGTTGGAGACTTCAGAAAAGACCAACAAAATATTTGGAATGACATGTGTTATAAAAAAATCATTGCTTTTCTTCCTCCTGCCCCAAATCTAAGTTTCACATCCAACTATAAAAGCAAAGTAACTAAACAAATTACTTCATCCCTAAAGGGGCACTAGGATCTGACTGGAGTTGAAATGTGTGTGCAGCACTTAATTTACATCTTACAAAGAGATGATAAGACATAAAAAACAGAAGCCTTGAAAAAAGCACACATCTTTTATAAAACATACCCCAAAAAGCTATTATGAGAATAACACGGTGGAGATGTAAACAGAAATAAAGCTGTGCTAAAAAGAATCTATTCTTACAGTGACAAAACGGTTCACAGCTTATTAGAAAGTTTGATAATGTGGAAAGTTATGCACATTTCACACATTTGTTAATAACCAAGAACAGAACAAGCAGTGAAATGGAAAAAAAATTATAATAATTATTTACATAAGTCACATAACAAAGAACTTTTTTGTGCGTTTTTCTATGCAGTTTTCAAGGTTTGTCTGATGACTTTGAAATCTGGCCCTTTAGAGCTTCACTAAACAAGCCTGAAAATTGTACAGAGAAAGGCCTAGCAGTGCTTACAAAGCTTCCTCTTCATCCAGGGTTCTTTGCACCAAGAATTTCCCATCTCTCTTTTCTCATTTTGCTATGTCACCTTGAATATTTCTTTTATTAGGTGATGTTTCCAGAACGAATCCTGTCACATTTCATCTTCTGTTTTCGTAACACATTTGTGTGCTATTTAAGCTTGACTTGAGAAGCAGAATTATTGCATGTGATTTCATTTTGTCACAACCCTCTGGGCATGTTTTGCTGACAGTGTTTACTTACACACCTTAAGGGAGGCGTATCTGTCATTAAAAAATTACTTCTTTGAAGTTCGTGGTAGAGGAAGAACTAAAATTTTTGAAGCAATAAACTAAAGTCTCATGTATTGTGTAAAGAGAATAAAATAATTGTTAAACAGCAGGAAAAGAACTTCCATGAGTTTATTGGGGTGGCATCATATGCTTTTTGAAAAGAAATTGGAAGGGAAGACTTCTACTTGGATTTTAGAAACTGCTATTAAGACTAAAGCAACTCCCAAGCAGGACAAATTACCCAAGAACTTGGATGCAAATTGCTATTTAAAATAAAACATCTCTGTTTTACTGCAAAACAGCTGCTGGAGGCATTTACTGGAACCTTTGCTCCTTCTTAGTTGAAGATCTATCCTGCTGAATTTAGCCCAGTTTTCCAGATTTTTTCAACTTGCTTACTTTTACTCTGTGTCCTTTAGTGAGTATTTTACCTTTATTTGGTGCCATCCTCTGGGGGGGTCGCTGGAGGTGGTCTGTGAATTGAATTGCTGAAGGACACAAGAGAAAGTTTACCCGACCCACACTGCTGGGTTTCTTTCTAACCTACAGGTTGCCATTGCCATGCCACAGCTTATGCTACAAAAGTGCATTTGCTGCTTCGTTTGTCACATGCCTCATCTTCCACATGCTCCTGGCAAACAGCATCTGCACATCTTTTTTTTTCCCCCTGTCTTCAACGACTTGCACTCACCCTCTAACAGGCTAAATGTGAAATGAACATTCCAAATTCCAGTTAATTGGCTCGCAAAAGTTCAGTTAGTGGTAGATAATTAAGATGCTCTCCAATCACCAAGGCAAGGTGTTTGAATTGGACACATGAAGCAAGAACTCTGGAGGCATTAATTTGCTACATAACCTCATGTTTCTTTGCCTGCAAATTAGCACAAATACTTACCCACACTTTGAGGGCATTGTCACATGCATACACTTTAAAAAAAAAAAAATCCCCAAAATATTCCCAAGATCCTTTACACCAGGCACAACGAAAGCACAAGAATTCTTTCATGTTTTAAACTATATTTTAAATCAAGCAAACGAAAGAAATGCCAATATTCTGAATGCAATGAAAGAAAGAGAGAGATTAAAAGTGACAATAATTCTCAGGAGTTTAGATCTTATGAGAAACGTTAAGAAGTGACACTAGAAATTCATGTCTCCATTCTGTCATGGAAGAGGAGTGGCTCTCACAAATCATTTTTGTAGGCTAAGATTACAAGTGTAAGTTATTTATAAGTGTTTATATGTATCAATATACCTATGCATGGAGACACACACCCATCCACCCATATACATGGTTTAGATATAAAAATCTTCTCAGTGATATATGCATTTTCAGAATCTTTTCACTGACCTCTTGCCTTAATTCACAGCCTTTTTGCATCTTATTTTCTTGTGCATGTGAACATACAACCACATACACATAATGTGAAAACTTACAAAGAGTGGGAAAGACGTGCATATACGTATACATGCATAAAGAATAGGAAAAATGACATTTTAAAATTGTTAATTGTGGTGATTGATTTCGAGAGTAGTTAGGAAAGGTAGAGTTTTATTAGTGATCATCTCAGCTAACAGAAATTGTATGCAAGGATGTGCTTCCCACTCCATCTCAAGTGACTTGTGGGAAAGTCTTTATCCATTATTCATATCACTTTAGGACTGGAAAGTCTTAAAATTCTTGATGTGAACCAAGAAATCTTGTTTCATTTTGCAAGGTTTTTCTGTAAACTGAGGAGGAGAAATGCATGATTTGCTCAAACTTGTATTTGTGGAGTTAAGAACATGACTTTAAGAAAGCCAAGCAAGATTCAGTTTCTACAGAGCTTTAAATCAAAAGCAAGCATGAAGATGGAGCTTCTTAGGCATGAAAATAAAGCAAATTATAATAATAAAAATGGCAACTCAAAAGCATATCAGTAGGCTTTCATGCATGTTGGCAAGGAGCACTGTGTGCCAGACACTAAAAGAGTGCACAGAAATTTAAAAGTAGTGTTGAAGAAGAAAAATCAGTTAACAGTATTAGTTATAATCAAACCATAACATTGTTATCTCTCCTGTATTTACACAAAGGCTGATTTCAGAAAATAAATCAAAACTACAACCCCCCCCAAAATACTAGAATAGACTCCATATTTGTGAAAAACAAACAAACAAACAAAAAAAAAAGGCAAAACTTACACAGATGAAAGTAGAATTAAAAAAAATAAATCTTGCTTACCATAATTGAATGAGGTCGATAATTGTGAGCAAATTCTTCAGAGAAGTACTCTGTATTGTGGTCCAGCCTTTGATGCCCTCCATATTCTCCAGCATCAGAATCCAGAAGGATTTTATACTTAAAAAAAAACTGTTAAAGAACTAAGCCAAGTTACTTTAAACTGGGAAAGAAATCAAAGCAAAAAAATCTAGAAGAACTGCAGTAACTAATATAACTAATATACTCAATATAAAGCACAAACAATAATAAAATTTAAGCAAAGAGTGGAAAACCGAAGAACACATAGAAGTTGTATCACATTTTGTCCTGCAAATTTAATTTTAGCACAGTAACTCATATTAAGGAAAGTACCTTCCAGTCTCTTCTGCAATCTGCCATGTAAGTTTATAGCATTACAGCAGCTCTGCCCAGCACTTCAGGTGAAGAACTAGACAAAAAATGTTCCATTAAACAAAATGATGCATTTGAGTTGCATTTAAGAAGCAACATAATTGTGACTGTGTTCAGCAACATTTTATGGTCTGTCAGAACCTGATCAATGAGAAAAAGATGATTTTACATAAGAAAACCCCATAACTTCTTTCAGAGTTTTCTGGAAAAGAGTTTGAGTTCTTATAGCACAGAGGAACAAAAAGAAAGTATATTTAATAGAAGACTTTTTAAGAGATAAACATTCTGACTGCAGTTGTTACAATGGTGTGAACTATTTAACGAAGTGTAACAATGAGTTGAAATATCTGTACAGATACTTAAAAGGATTCAAACAGATTTAGCAAATAATAAAAGGTAAAGTTGAAAGAATAAAATCAGAAAGCGTAAGGGAATAAATGAGGAGACAAAGAGCTAACTCACATTCAAAAGTGAATTTCTTCTTATTTAGGACAACAACAAATAGAATATTTTAATTTTATGAATATTTCAGTGCCTTTTAGGTTCTTGATTGGGCATAATTAAAGCATCCTTTTCCCTCCTGAAGTTACAACAGAAAGCAATCTCTACTCCCCACCACCCGAAAAAGAGAAGGAAATAACAGTGCTCCAAAATCCACAATCTGCTTCCTCAATTCTAAGCCATGGAAGAATCTTATTTTCCTACAGCTTGTATTTAATAGGATTAGGGATGAAGGAAGGAACAGTCCTTCAAAGTCAGTGGTTCTTAAACTGCTCTTGCCCTTCTGTGTTTGCTCAACCTGTTTGAAAGTAGGCCTGCTCAAAAATGTGATATTAACAGAATTGTTTTTCAGTCTGTTTGCACAACTCACTCTCAGATGAGCTGGGAAATTTCCCAGCCACCAGCCTTACTGACTGAAATCTCCAGTGACAAAGGAGACTGAAGCATGACATAACAAAAGTAACTGCAAATTTACTCTGAGACACTCGAGTATAAAAGATTGCACAGGTTTTGCTGACAAAGGCAACAAAGAAAAACAGATGCACAGGAGGGGAAAAAGCAAAGCTGTCAATTAGCTACCAGATCACTAATGGTAACTAATCCCTTCCCCACAAGAATTTGCAGCACAATGAGAGAAGTGTCCAAAACTGCTAAGTTAGTTTCTGATTTCTACAGGGCAGGTGCCCAAAGATCACCACATTCTCTGGCAAAATCTTCATGATTGTTACCTTTTTTTTAAAAAACCACATAAGTTAGGAAAATTCCACTTTGCCAACTTCAGTCCTCAATGGCTTTTTTAGATGCACTATATACACACACCTATGCCCTCTATTTTACAAACACATTCAAATTATCATTCATTTTATTGTAATGCACAACATACAAAACTATAAGCTACAACTTCTAGTCACTCTCTTCAGCGTCCTTTTAGCATCAGCAATGTCTGCTACTATTCCTATATATATAAAATGATATTCTGTATATTTTATTAACATGGCAAGAGAATATCTCCGTCAAGCATTTCACTCCTTGCTTCTGTGATCGACACTGTACATTAAATTTAATAATTTATCAATGTTGCAGAAAGCCCTGACATGTTTAATGATTCCCTTAAAACTAGTTACAGCAAATGCCATTGTTATGGCTATGGTATTTTAAAAACAATTTATAAAATTGTGCCTGGATTGCTAGAGAGCAATGCTAAAGTTAATATCACTGTGTCTGCACGTGTATAGCATATTTCATGTAAATACTGTTAACCAGATCCTGAACAAAGGGATCAAAAAAGAATTTTAAGATCTTCACAAATTGGGTATTTTGCTGGAAAAAGAATTAACTAGTTTGGTAAACATGCCCATTTGCCTTCCGACTTAAAACCTCACAAAAAAGTCACTTTCCACATTTCAGAATTTTACAAGCATCTGGTTTTCTGAAGACTACTTTCACTAAAACATTAAACAATAGTTGTGCATTTTAATTAAGCACATAATAAAAGTATTTCCTTTTGCAGTGAGCTCTCTTGTTTTAGTGACAGACTGTTGGAAATACTAACCTGTATTCTCATTGGAAAAAAAAAAAAGCCTGATTTGTGTTCAGTTTGGTGCTCCAACTAAATTTATTGCCCAATATGGGGGAGGAGAGCAGCAAAATCCATGAAGTCTTGTATGGATAGAGCTGCAAATAGAAAAGCTGACACATTATCTACCATATTACTTACTGAATTATTATGCTTTTACAATATTTTGAAATAAATATTTTAGTGTAATTTTAACATAACCTTATGCATGTTTAATAACATATTTGCAGGGTAAATGCAAGTCACAAAATAGGATAATTTGGATTTTGTTCCTCAATCCTTATATTTATAAAACAACCCAAGTGCTATATGTGGGGGTGATGGTCCAGCTTCATTTAAAGCTTTGCAGAAAAGGAGGTAAGAATTTCTACTGACCAGCTGTAAAATGATGTAAGGTTTATTGACTATTTATAGAGAAACTCCTCTTATCTCTACAGTCTGGTTTGGTTTATCTATCACAAACCAAATACATTCAAATAATATTAAACAGATTGGGTCCTCTGTATTACATGCAACTGCCTTGTTACAGAGATTATCCATCAACTTAGAAAGCCTGGGCACAACTGAGCAGGACTCAGGAAGATATTAAAAAAGATTACAGGTGATCTTGATTGTTTCATGTCCATCCTTTCATAATCTGTTTTAAAATCAGGAGTAGGAACTGCTGTATATTGTACAATGACCTGTGTTGCCTAAATAAGCATCCATATTTCTGTCTTTCTGGTGCTTTCCAGACATGCAACTAGTGCATGGTTGTGTATGTAAATATTTATTTTCTTTTAAATTCACATGTAAATCAGCTCTCATTTTCTCACTGCACTTCAATATACAAAAGATTACCTAATTAAGATTTCATCTTTATCTCTTGCTTGGCTAAAAGCAAAGGATATGGTTCTGGCAACAGAGATGGGATGAAGATAAAAGTACAGAGCAAAAAAAAAAGATAAAAAACTGTGCTGAAACATTTAATACAGAAGCTAAAAGGACAAAATATATGCATTAAGACACAGTAAGGAAAGTAAGAACTTGGTCATTAAATGCCCCATAAACACAGGGAAAATGAAGGAAAAGGCACTTTCAAGTAGGACTGTAAAGAGTCCAAAGTGGTTAGGCCATTCTGTTTTTAATAAAAAAAAACAGCAAAATTAATTTCAAGACAAAGGGCACCTCTGTTTCTCCTCTCCACACACTGCTAATTTTGGAGAAGACTAATTGACAGAAAGCATTTGAGGATATTTGACTGAATTTGGCAGTGAAATTAAACACCTTGTCCTGATGAAATTCAGCTCAGAACATTTAGAAGAACTATTTAGCACTCAACTCATGAACATGTACTGAGGAGAAAGGGGGTACTGTAGCTTTTTTCTTCAACAAAATATATATGTCTTTTGCTTAAACCAAATGCAAATTTAGAGATATGTAAATCCATATTGGTTAGCAATCAAACATGAAATGCAGATTTATTTTTGTGCCAAGATAACAAACCTTGCTTAAAAAGGGGGGAGATATATACATATAGACCTCCAACAGAGCACAAAAATTGTTCAACAAAAGCCAGTGTGGGACCTTCAGGAAGGAAAAGGAGTAATTTCTGAAGACTTTAAGCCTCTTTCCTGTTCTGTTCTTTCTCCATCCTTTCAGCCACGTTCCTTTTGAACAGAGGAAAGAAAGTATCCGTATTGAATTTTTACTGCAGACTGGCCTTGGAACCCAACCACTACCCCACAGAAAGGCCCTAGTCAGTATTAAAACCATAAAACTGGAAACTTATGGATGGTTTTCCTTTTAACATTCAAAGTTTTATCTACAATCAGAGAACCAGAGACAGCTGACCTAGATGTTGATTATTCATCTACCTCGAAACTGAAGCAAATTAGGCCAAAATAATTTGTTAGTTCAAGCTGCCTGTTTCTCGTGAAAAGGCTTCTGAAAGAGCATAATTTATGAAGGAAAATTCCAGCACAAGCACAGAAGTGTTTTCCTTTTGCCTTCACATAACGACACAGAAACTGGGCAATAGAAGATGCCACTCTAATTAGTTACACCGACTGATAGTGCTGCAAACCTGTGTCTTTTCCCATGCAGATCAAAGATTCATTCCCACATTAGCATGCTGTATTTCTCATTCACACCTATTAACCTTAGGTATCAACTACCTTGATAGAATTTAGCATTTGACTGATCCTAAATTAAGGGTTTTTTTATCTCGAGGTGCCAGATACCCCCTGAATTCTAACAGGCAGGGACAGTTACACAACTGCACTTCAAAGCAGTCTGTGAAGCAGCTTCTTTGCCTTCAGCAATTGCACACCAGTGACTCATTCAAGTGACCTTACGTGCTCATTAGGAGCTCTAGGTGCATGCTGTAAATGTCAGAGAGCCTGAATTAATGTGTGGTGGGTTTTTTTTTTCCTTAAGTGTGTTTTTGCTGCATTTTGATGACAGTATTTGTGATCCCCCCCCAAGCCTCGCCTGGCTATTTGCTTATGGACAACTCTGACCTCAAATTATGGAATCCTAGAATATGCTGAGTTGGAAGAGACCCACAAGGATCAAAGTCCAACTTCTGGCCTTGCATAGGACATCCCAAGAATCACACTGTGTGCCTGAAAGTATTGTCCAAATGCTTGAACTCTGCCAGGCTTGGTGCTGTGATCACTTCCCTGGGGAGTCTGTTCCAGTGTCCAACTTTTTCCTAACCTTTTCCTAATATCTAACCAAGCCTCCCCTTACACAGCTTCACAATATTCCCTCGGGTCCTGTCACTGGTCTTTAGAGAGGAAAGATCACTGCCTGAATGTTCTTAAGCACCCTAAATTCAGGGCACTCTGGAGTTCCTTCTCTCTAGGATTAAAATGCTTTGATATGCCACACTATGCAAAAATGGCAATGTGTAACACAAAGAAACCACTTTTCCCCATGACTTTTTTTTCTTGCTTTACCAGTATATGACAGGAGTTGGACCCGATGGTCCTTGTGGGTCCCTTCCAACTCAGCATATTCTGTAATTCTGTGAAACAAAATTCTTCCAGCAAATCGGCATTAATTTTTTGAATCTCCCTCAGTGCTAAGAATTTGGACACAAATGCAAAACCAGCCAATTACTCAAGAGCAATCATTTACTGCTTAGCTGATCCAAGAGCAAATTTTCAGTCCACCCAGTCTTGAAACAGAAACTGTGCAGCCTTCCTGATGCAGGTTTACACTGATGCATTTTCCTGTGTGACTGGCTGCACAGCATCACCTTACTGTGGTCACTCTCTGTACTTCATTTAAGTTTACTTGCTTTTTCATGCTTCAACACAGTTCCAGGGAGCAAGGAATCACAAGTCTTCAAACTGCAATTTTTTCACTCATGCTATCTTCAAAAGTATCTCTTATTAAAAAAGCTAAATTTCTAAATTACTTTTTTGCTGTAAACAATTAAAGCAAGATTATACTGACGAGTAATTTCTTACCTTTTCACTACAGTTTGCATTTGCATTAGAAAACAGAAATAAAACCAGCTTTCAACTTCTAAAACTTTTCTGCACAAGCAAAATGGCAAAGAAAAGGATATTTTCCTGGAGTTTCAATACCCACTCTGTAGTCCACGTAACTTTGATATGGATGGAAGTTAAAAATAAAAACAAGCCTTGCTCTCTCAAACGCTATGACCTTATTGCCTTCATGCTTTTCACTCACATAGGCCTGGGAAAGAAAGGAAAAAGAAAATAAAACGACAAACCAAACAAAAAAAGTTTAAAATATTTAATTTCTAACAGAATTAACAAAAACAAGAACTCTCCCACTGTTTCCATATCTCATTTCAATAACTTAAAGATTCCAAAAACAAAGATATGGATGTTAACATGCAAACCAAAATTGTTTACCTATGCAATGTTGTCTAAAGTTTTTGATTACTAAAGTGTAGCTGACAGTTTTTATAAGGTAATAAAAAAATCAAAGGGGTAGATACCTGGCTGGCATAGAACACTTGACAAATTCTTGCTCAAAGGTTCATAACATGGTCTTTTTATCACACTTTCCCTCAGTAAAAAAATGAATTTGTTTTATCAAATGAAATATTCAACCTACTTGTTATGGGGATCTGCATCCCACCTACTGTTATTAACTTAGAAAATCAAGGTTTTTTGTTTGTTTTTTTAGAAATCTGTCAGAAATAGCTTTGCTAAGCCACATTAAACTGCTGCACATACCACCTTTTTCTATTTGCTAAAGCCATTATTAAATAACTAGATATCAATCAAAAGAAATTATTTAAAGTGGATTATGTCCAATATGAAATAATTAAACACTGAGAAATTACAATAATTGAGTTTCTTTCATAAAAGTTACAGTGTACACTTAAATAAAAAATGCAAATACAAAAAAGGTAAGTTGAAGAGTGGGAGACTATTATTGAAAGTTTTTTCTCAGAACCAGAGTAATTATTTTTATAAAGTGTATTGTCAGAACAACTTACACTTTCCCTAAGCAACACTTGGATTTGATTATGGACAATTTCATTGTCTGCTTTATCTAATCCACAGTTACTAAACAAACATAGGAAAAAATAATAGGAAAAGACCTTGCTATGAAGCTAAGAGGAGACTGTTTCGGATTTCTACTATCTGTGGAAGATATTTCAGTGCCATGTTTTGACAACTTGAAATATATGGTGAGGCCTTAAGCAAGGCATAATAAAGTGCTGTTTAAAATTTCTGCATGCAAATTTGGTATTGCTGTTATTCTGAACATGTACCCAAATGGTGACTAGAACTTATCATTTAGTCTGTACAGCTTACCTGGGGAGATGCAAGCCAGCCAAATCTTTCCTCCAATCTATTCATATCTCTATCAAAGGCATTTAGGAATTTATAGCGAAGAAGATCATCCTCAGTAAGATTAAACTGTCTCCTGGCATAGTGGTAGCTCTCATTATTCCCTATTCTGGGGAAGTCAAGCCATTCTGGATGTCCAAATTCATTACCTGTATTTAAAAATATTAAGGATCTGTGAAATTACACACTAAAAATACACTAAACCCGCAGAAGTAAAATATATTAATGTATAACTTCCCACAAGTTAGAAATTCCAAACAATATGTTTCTCTATATAAACTGATAATTTTATTATTAATATGTCTCTCAGAACTTCCACATTTGTTAGCAGATTTGTTTTGGCCAGAGCAAAATATCCACGGACTCCAGGGGAAGTAAAAAGTAATGAATAAACTATAAATTCCATGCTATCATGCCATGCTTAAAAATTTCCCATTCCCATCCCTCAACAGAGGCAAGACAAATTCAGTCATCTGGGATACAAGTTTTACAGTCACTGTGAAACCTAAACCCATCACTTTAATAGTAAAAGTCTGTTGGTTTAGAGTCCAGTTCTGGGCTCCTGAGTACAAGAGAGCCATGAAGCTCCTGGAGCAGGTCCAGGGGAGGGCAACAGAGATGATTAAGGGGCTGGAGCATCTCTCACGGGAAAAGGCTGAGGGAGCTGGGCCTGTTCAGCCTCGAGAAGAGATGACTGAGAAGGGACCTCATCAGTGTCCATCAGCACCCAAAGGGAGAGTGGCAAGAGGATGGATCAGGCTCTGTTTGGTGGCACTAAGGAATAGAATGAGAGATAACAGCAAAAAACTGATGCACAGGAAGCTTCATCTGAACACGAGGAAGAACTTCTTGACTGTGCAAGTGACCACTCACTGGAACAGACTGCCCAGAGAGGGTGTGGAGCCTCCTTTCTGGAGATATTCAGGAACCATCTGGATGCAAACCTGTGCAATGTGCTCTGGGATGACCCTGCTTGAGCAGGGAGGTTGGACCAGATGACCCACTGAGGTCCTTTCCAACCTGACCCATTCCATGATTCTGTGAAATCAGAGCTGCCATTCACATAACCACAGAGAGAGAAACCTCCCATTTTATCCACTGAACTCCAAACAATCAAAAGACCAGTTGCATGCACTTTGACCACCTTTTCAAGACTTTTTATCTTGGCAATGAATACTTGCATTATATTTTCCAGTGATATAAAAAGTAACTATTAAAAAAGATGACTTGAATCTCAGTTCCTGGCTTTCTAGAAAAATTCAAAAAGACATTCCAGTTCAAGCAGCAGCCTAGGTAGCAGACAGTAAAGCACAATGCTTCACGATGATGCATTTAGTATTTGATACTGAAAACCAGTGTGACAATTTGGGGATCCAACAGTATGTCTCAATTCAGCAACTTTACAAGAGCAGCTCCTTTTCCAAACATAACACACTGTCACGAGCACCAGAGACACATTTCAGGCTGTGATGAGGGATGTTTGAGTGCTGTGTCCCTCTGTGTGCCTATCAGTTCAGGTCCCTTTGCACATGTGTAAATGCCATTATATTTCAATTTGGTTTTTTACAGCACTATGCTTCATAAGTCTCATCCTGATTATCTTGCCCACACTACTGAGCAGACTTCACTTGAAGACAAAGGTTCATTCAGGCTTGGATTACACTCCTTTAAAAAAGAAGGAAAAAGACTGTCATTTAATCAAGAAAAAGATTAGCTTTTCTTACATAGAACCTCCAAAGCAAATCTCAGCTGTCAAAGCTAAGGATTCACAGCAAGACCTCATTTGGGACTCAGTATTTGAGTGATTTTCATGTATCCAAACTTTTCTTGGTTTATATATTGCCCTTATTAAATCTGAGATACATTCAAGTGGATTTGATGATCCTAACTCATGCTGTAACCTGCTGCCTAGCAGACTCTCAGTCGTTTTGGACGATTCATTTTACACAGGATCAAAATATGTCAAGTACTTTGAAAGTTAAACGCTCATTTCAAAACCTATGAACAGCTGGTTCACGAAAACCATTTTGGAGATTGCACAACACCTCCTCACCACAAAACAGAGACAATAATGGGGTACCCGGAAATATATGTAAGGAAAAACATTTCTACAAGCTGTTCCTCAAGTTTTATCAACGAGCTGGAGGTTTGTGGACCGACAAAGGGCAGGGATGCTGGGGGAAGGTAAGTGTTTCCTGGCTGGATACCCTGCATGTGCAGCCCTGATGCTTCTGCTGTCTCACCCAGCCTGCACTGCCTGGAGGGCCTGGAGCAGTGACAGCTATGGACTTATACTTCTGCAGCGATTTTTGTGTAATTCCATGCTTCACAGGAACAAAGAAATGACCAGAGAACAAAAGAGAAAAGCCTCATATATATATTTAGGAGAATCCTTCAGAGAGGTATCCGCTTTGTAAACGAGCTGACAGGTTGTAAATTAAATTTCCCATTCAAAAGCTAAACCACTAAATTTCATATTCAGCTCAGAACTGGAGACAAATATAAAAGAATCAGAACCACAGCAGGGCTTTCAAAATGACCTTGGAATAATGCTGGACTGAGCTCTTAAACTGTGCTAAGAATACGGTTTGGAAAATGAGGAAAGATATTGCTACAAAACAGACACTGTATCTAACCAAATTCAATATTCTCTGAAGAGCTGGGCAAGGTATTACCTTCTTTCGTGATCTGCACACTATTGAAAAGATACACTACATGAGACAGCTCAGGTAAAGACAAGAAAAAACATCAGAAAGTCAGAGATAATACATATCTTGAAACAACAGCCAAGGAAAGCATACCTATTTGTTCAAGAAAAAAAACAAAACAAAGCAAAACAAAAATGGAGGAAATAAGCAACAGAAGATAGCAAATAAATTAGACTAAACTAGCTCATCATTTCCACAGATTATTTCACTGTAAGTAGAGCATACTTCCTCCATGGCTTTGCCTACTTCCCCACCACAGTAACTAGTGTTGTTCCAATGCTGTGTTTTGTTGCTTTGTGTTTGTGTTTTTTTTTTTAAAACAAAAACAATACAAGTGCAGAAAAATCCAAAAAAGCAGTCTTAATTTCCTAACTATTACTAATGGCTATGAAGAAAAAAAGGGAATTTAGCACAGTGCAACAACTTGACAGAAGACTAAAATACTTGCTGTGGTCAGAAAAGCACGTTGAGGGTCTAAATACTGCACACACTTTGACACTGTTTCCAGGGGCAACTTCTGCACCACATACTCATGAGACTTTTGCATAAGCTGCTTGATTTTAAGAGGGCCTTTTGATTTCTCTTTATAGAAAGAAAAACAGAAGTCCACAAGTTATAACTGAGTGAAATCAAGTAGGTTACCTTGGTGATGTTTTTAACTGTGGTATAGGGAAAAGGAACTAACATGTAGGATGTAGCAGGCCTATCAATAAACTCCCAAGATGATTCTGCACTTGAGATGCATTAAGGCTATGCATCCCTTAAAAAAACCCCACATCCCATACCTCTTTTTTTTTGTTTGTTATTTTTTTCCTAGTTTAAGTTTATAACAAATTCCAGGAGGGACTAGGGAAGGGAAGGCACAGGTAAGGGACCAGGACTTACTTCTGGAGACAACTACTGGTGGTACCTGTGAAGTGTGCTCTGCGTCCTTCCCCACATTCCACTTCCATTCTTGTGAAAGTCCCTAAGCACAGAAGTACTGCTGGGATTTCTTTTCCTCTAATTAATTTACTCCTTGATGTAAAGGTTCAAACTACAGATTGACAAGGAGCCAGCTGCCACAAATGATGCAAATCAAGACAATGGAACTAATGGGGGGAGGGGGGCAGAGAACAAAGCTGAAAATTGGGAAATTTTGATTAGAGAAACAAAACAAAGACAAATCCTTGAAGTGCAATGCATACTAATTTTATCTAGGAATTGATTCAAGTTTGCTATTTCCTGAATATTGCACATACTGGACAACCTTTCTACGTAAAAGATTTCAAGATCACAATTACAACAAATAAATTGACTACCTATCACCATAATAAAAATTTTTATCATGCCTGTTTATTAGGCTAGAAATGCATTTACACCACAAAGAAGTTACACTGCTGCTGATTGCTTTGAGGTTGTGCCCCACAGGTCATTCAAGTTTTCTTGATCTCTCTTCTTTAGACATGTTCACTAGCAACTCCTACACAAAGATTCAGGCTTAGCAGAACTGAAGGGATATCTAAAAGATGGAGCAGGCAGTGTCAAGAGATGTTTGTATTTTGAATTAAATATGACACTTAATTCTTAATTAAGTATGAATTTAACGTCATTGCCTTTGTGAACAATGATGACAGTGCAACAATCTGCAGATGATAAATAGAATCAGTGTAAGTCAGATCTAGACAGCATGTGATATTTACTGTTATTTCAAAAAATAAACACTTCAAACAATGAATCCTCATTTGCCCTAGTTGTGAAGCTCTTGGATTTTAAGTGATTCTGATACTCTGCATTTACTCATATTTGTACCAAATCTTCTTAACGTTCATTACTACCAAAACCAAATAAGAAACACTATATTGCCTTCAAATGATGAGAGAATGAGCTTCATTGCCAGCATTCATTTAGTCTTGTAATCCATGCAAAATTAAAATAAAATGAAATTCCAAACGTGCTCCTCCCAAAACACTAGGGTTAGATGACTCCAAGACATTCATATTTTCTTTTAATCCTCTAGCACTTGTATTCAGCGACATATTGGGTCAGAAAAGACGAACAAAATCAATTTAGGTAAAAAATTCAATTGTAACTCCTGCATAAAGAAGAACCAGACCAGCTATGGAATGAAATCCTGAGGAATTCCATTGGAATGTCTCACTTGTTTCCCTCCCATTCCCACTTCCTATCAAGTTTGGTCTGTCTTCACTCATTTCCTACTGATATTTAAATGTTAGGAGTTTTTGTACCATACGATTTTATAACATCGATAAGAGAGTTCCAAGCTCTTAAAGGAGATAATTTCCCACTTGTCCCAACAAAAATTCCAACCACACTAAATGGCATTGTTCTGTTCTCATATTTCAAACCTACAAATCTCTTTTTTCAGATCAGTTACAGAAAAATAAAAAAAACAAACCAAGTAACAAGAAAAGAGCAATTCTGCTATGATTTACTTTATT